GTGCAAATTATAAGTCTGTATCATAATGTCTGGTGTTTTCGTGTTTGTTGGTTTGTTTTTATTTTGTTTTATTTTGTGAGTTAATTATTATTAGATACTGCTCCAGCCAGCCAGAGAATCCCCCGCCGCCCCGCCCTCTCCTCCCAGCAGGCACACCTCGCAAAAGGGATGGCGCCCTTACTCCCAGCAAATGGGCGATAGAAAACCGATGCCTATGCCATTCCCTGGCTGACGTCGGGGCAGTATGCGTACGAGCATTTTTTTAAAAAAATTTTTTCCAATGCCCGTGATGCCGCCCCCCCACGCCCGTATCTAAAACCGCTACTGCACTGAATTGTTGTAATCTGTAGAGGTCCGGTTTGCCAATATATATACGAGCCGGAAATTCATTTATGGTCTTAGGGTGCCATCTAGTGACATATAGCCCGACGGGCGGGGCTGAGATAGATTTTGGTCGCCTGACCGGAGATATCGCTAGCTCCGGGACGTCGGGCTAGCGATTTTGCGAGCCCTGCCATGTGCTCAGCACGCAGAGGGAGAGTGGGAGTCTAAAGGAGCAGCGGCAAAGCATAGCAGTTGTAACACCGTTTTGTGTGATTGATTGTGTGTTAATGAACCTGTAAGTGTTATTCCCTTGAACAGATTCATTGGTATGATAATGGCTATAGTTGTTTGTGCATGTTAAAGTTATGCCTCAGCATATTAATACCATGTTTGTAGGATTATTTAATTATTTAGTACTCAGTACTCAGGCCAGAATCTCCCATGATGATTACATCCAGCATTTAAAGGACTTTTCTATTGTTTATTGTTTAGTTTAGCAGTTGCTAGCTTGCCATTTTCTTGCCTCACTACTAGTCACTTATAAGGCATGTGCCATTTAGCCAATTTATGGTCTGCAGTGACCTCTTGTGGACATTATAAAATATTACTGTGTCGAGTAAATGATGTGATTGTTTTCTTACTTATCTTCGACTCTATTAATTACAGAATTGCCTTCATCTCCGTGTCTTAATTGAATTGGACTGCACAGAGTTGCAGTCCAAAGAAGAGAGATCATCCAGACCAGGCTAATCCAAAACATGTCGGCCAAATGTATGATCAATTAAATTTTCATTAAAAAATAAATAAAAAACAAAACAGCAAAACATCTGAGTCACAAACAATTTGATATTTAAAGTCCATCAGGCATTTTCAGAAGAATCAGAGGCTACAGATTTAATTAATCCTCTCAAAGTGGTGTCTGTCCTGTATACTTTATTTGAGGTCTTCTTATAAAACACCTAATTTTAAGTACACAAAAAAGGAATAGCAAGCACAAAAACAAGAACAAAAAACAAAACATGGAAAAGCAAAGACATGACAGAGAACACTTTGTGAGAAATGAGAATCTGAGTCATAACAAAATTTGTCTAACATCTCCGCAGCAAATCAAGTTCCTGTTCTTCTGCAGTCCTAGTTCGTCTTTTACTGTAATCACATGACATTTTTGTAACATACTGTGGGAAGTAATTACAATAATTACATTACAGCTATAACTATGTCATTACTTGTGTTAATAAAAGTTCTTCAGTTACCTGCACGCCAAGCAGACATAAAGAAAAAAAATCAAACAAATAAATTTTTTTCCTGTGCACTTGCTCTACAGGGAACCAATTTCAGTTAATGTACTGTGAAGAGGATGACGCTGGTACAGTGATACAGCTTTTCAGCAGAGGACATTTGGGCATTAATTGATTTTTATTGAACTAAAGGAAAGGAATGCAACATTAACATCTGTGAGAGTTATTAGCACAATGCTACTGCAGGAAACCTATTCAAATGTTCAGTTTATTCAACCTTAAAAAAAAAAAAACACCAGGTGGTTAATGTTCCTGTCAGCATCAAGACAGCCATTTGAGACAGCCATACAGGCTATACAGTATTAAATAATACTACTACTAATAATAATAATAATTAATGGTGGTAAATAGTAATGCTTTAGCACAGTGGTTGTCAAACTTTTTCTGACATGCCCCACTGTACAAAGGAAAAATTTAATGAATGAAATTAAATAATTAAAAAAAGTTTAGTATCCACATCAAGGAGTTTGTAATTAGTTAAGTAATTAATTACTCATTAACAAATCAAAAAGGTACAAGATGAATTTTAGTTCAAAGTCAGCATTAACCTCCTAAGACCCGAACTCTTCCACGTCATGCATTTTTAATTTCTCTTTGATATTTGGGCTGATTGGGACCAAAAAAAAATTTTTAATCATTGTTAGCATTAGCAACGCTTACATGTGTATTTTAACTCTACATACATACAGTATATATTATTCATCAGATTTTTTTTCTTTCCTTTAAACCTAAAAATGAAGACATGACACTTTATGGTTTTAAACCTTTTCAGAAAGTAAGATCATTAAAAATGTTTTCATTTTTAAAGTATATCCATGCACCGTACATTGATAACAGTGTTCTCCCAAGCCTGAACATTGGCCCCACTCATGAGATCATAGGAAAAAAACTTTTTTTTATTATTTTATTTTTGTTAAAGCCTAGTTAATTTCGTCTGGGAAAAAGTCGCTTTTTAACCTCCTAGGACACTGGGTCACACTTGTGGAACATCGACATTTTGTTATTTAGACAAAATACACAATTTTTCTCTTACAGAGGGCCTGATTATCCAACTTTATGGGACAATTATATTTCTGCCTATGGTTCTATCCAAAAATTTTAAAACAAATATTTTTTCCTCAATATGTGGGCTTTCATTTTTCTTAGGGAAAACAAAAATTTTTTTTCAGTTTAAAAAAAAAAAATTTCTAGGTAATTTCTTTGTTTTTTTTTACCAATTCATCG